CTTCAGTGACTGGTGAACCTCAGTCTGGGACCAGCAAGGCTGTAATTGAGAACAATGTCCCTTTGTCGCACATGGTATAAAGTAGGGACATTTGTTATGAAACCCTAGAAATGAGTTAGCACTGGATATCTTCACAAGGTACACGACCTTATATCTATGTAGAATGTGGACTTCATACCACTTCAGAAACTATACAATCTCTTTCATTTAAAAATTATCTTCCTAAAACCCATTCTTCCCTTTTTCAAACTCCTCAGAGTTTATTTTGGCATATTTGCTGTGGTTTAAATGTGTTCCCCCAAAGTTTATATGTTAGAAACATTGCCAAATTCATGTGACTGGTATTTTGAAGTGGGGTGTTGAAAAGGCTGTTCAGGTTAGATGAGGATAGAAGGATGGGGAGCCTGTCTTGACATTACTGACTTTATAGAATGGGGAGGGAGGCTGGAGTGAGCACCCATGCTCTCTTCCAATAATGTCCTCCGTCATGTGCCTTCACCAGTAGATCTCAACATCATGGACCAAATTAAATTGTCTTATTTATAAATTTTTAGACCCAGATATTTTGCTAGGGCACCAGAAGATGGAATAAATAAATACTCACATATATAAATTAGACACACATGTATATGCATACATACATAAACATACACACCACTTATGAATTTCCTGATATAATGGCAATCTCTATTTTCTTCTAAAACATGGGTTTTGCTAACGAGAGATGATTATAGGAAAGGCGATTACTGGTGTCACTCTTAGTGTAGTCCATGTATGTTAATCTTATTCTTCAACAGCTGGACATCTGAGTTGGCCTTTGGTACTTCAGAGAAAAAAAAAGATATATAAACCAAAACCATGGAGGTTGTAATTATTCAGGGAGAAGCAGGGGGAGGCAGGAGGAGGCAGAGGAAGTAAGGAGGAGGCAGGGGGAAGTAGAGGGAAGAAGGCGGAGGAAGAGGAGGCAGGAGGATGAAGGGGGAAGCAGAAGGAGGAAGGAGGAGGTAGGGAGGAAGTGGGAGGCATGGGGACTTTGGCACGTGCTAACTGGAAATGAGAAACTGCTTTGAGTACCAGTTCCTGCTGTTTCCTGTTGTAAAGTGAACTATCCCATTATATACTGCTCCCGAGGAACTGTTCCTACTCTTGTTTGACTAGACAACTCTGTCTATTTAAGATAAATTAGGCAGAAACAATTATAGGCATGAATCCTTCCAAAAAGTCTTCTGCCTCCCCAGTTTCTGCCCCTCTGCTGCCCCTCTGTGGTGATTTCACCGTTTCAATGTCTCAACTCCACATCTTTTTCTTGTTTCTCGACCCAGGCTTCCTTCCTTAACACTAAGCTAATCCAGACATTTTCAGGAGACTTTTTCTTTATTATTCTATTGGTCTCCTCTCATCCAGGCTGGGCTCCAACTTACTGCATAGCTGAGGCTGGTTTTAAACTCATAACCTCCGGAAAGCTAGAATTACAGTCATGCGCTGCCACCACTCAGCGCTAAGTAGCACTTTCGGAACACACTAAGGGGGCTAACTAGCGACTTCTCCCACAGTGCTCCCTTCCTTAACCCCCATCTTCTGGTCCTGCTGTGGCGAGCAAGCAAGTCGTAGGCACGGTTCAAACTGTTTTCCCATATACATGGGATTTACTTCTGTTCTAGAATAATGGAACATGGCAGGTTCCACTTCACGGTGTGTAATGTTCCCTTCCCACGTCTTGAGACAGCACCAATGCCACTTGTAAAATCTATCCCCAGCCACTTCCAGACACGGGCTCATTCACTGGGAACGGGCCTCAGTTTCCAGGGACAATGATGGTGTTCACTGAAATGACTGTTCTGAGGGTGAATGGGGATTTTCCTAAAGACACTTGCTGTGTTAACCCACGGTAACAGACAGCTGCTGTAGATGCGTGTCCTGAGAGACACGACTTCCAAGCGGCTGGAGCTATGCTGCTCCTGGAGATTCTAAGCTAAATTTCTATCCTTTAGCTTCTGTTTAGGGTTTGCACACACTGCTCGAGCAGCTCCTGCCTCAGTGCAATCCTGTCTCCGGCTTTCTGTTTGTTGTGGTTCCTGTTTTTTTCCTAGTTAAATGGTAGTTTGTTTTAAATCAGAATCAAAATAAACCACATTTAAAAAAAAATTTGCCTAAGGGAAATGCCACTACCTTGATCCTCTGAGAAAAGTAATACAACTAGAAGTAAGTCAGCAGAGTGGAGGAAGAGTTCACTGCTAGCAAATTTACAAACAATTCCCTATTATGATGTTTTATTGAAATGTGACATTTCAAGTCGATGCTTCCTCTTTCTGGCCATCTCCTTCTGACAGTAAATGTATTTCTGCTGTAAATGTTAGAGGATAAGCACCTCAATTTCACCTGGATGTCAAAGCGCTGATACTCACATCTTAGAGCTAATTCTCGTAAGACACCAGTGAGTTCTTTATTGTCTCTTTTTCTAGAGCTGTCCAATAGAGTGTGGGACCTCTGTACTACATAATGGGAAAGCCACCAGGTGGCAACGCACCTGAGGACTAGCTAAGACAGCTGAGAGGCCAAGGCTTTAGGTGGATTTAATGTTAACTAAGAGTACTGTGTATTATCTTTTCCAACTTTATTTAAGTATAATTCACAAAACGCTATGTAAAGTATGTATCCAATGTGATGGTTTCAGATCCATATATATTATGAAGTGATATCTACACTCAGATAGTGAAACAGCCATAGTTACTAGGTATTTGTAGGTGTTTTATGTGTGTGATATGTATACAAAGGGGTGTGGTAAATTTATGATATCTGTGTGTGATGTGTATATGTGTGTGGGTATGCTGTGTATGTGTATGGTGTGTGGGGTATGTATGTGGTGGGGGTGTGACAAAGGGACGGTATGTGGTGTGGAGAGAGTATGTATTGTGTGTGTGGTGTGTGTACTGTATAGGTGGTTTATGTGATATGGTATTTGTATGGTATCTGTGTTATATGTATGTGTATAGGGTATATATGGCATGTATGTGTGTGTGGTGTATTGTTGGATGTGTGTGTGTGTATGTGTGTATGGGTTTGGAGAGGTGGTGTGTGTACATGTGATCTGTGGTATATGGTGTGTATGATACAGTATTTACTACATAATCACTATGTGTTGCTCAAATTCTAATTATCCTTAATAATAAAAACCTGGAGACAGATATTAGGGGGTGAAAGCTGAAAGGTCAGAGAAGCAGAGCAGCCATTCACTGTTTCTTACATGTAGAAGGAACAGCATTTGGCTCCCGGCTAGCTTTACCCGAAATAATTACATGGAAACTGTATTCTTTTAAACACTGCCTGGCCTATTAGTTCTAGCCTCTTATTGGCTAACTCTCACATCTTGATTAACCCGTATCTAATAATCTGTGTAGCACCACGAGGTGGTGGCTTACTGGGAAAGATTCTAACCCACGTCTATCTTGGAGAGGAGAGCCATGGCATCTGACTGACTCGGCTTCTTTCTCCCAGCATTCTGTTCTGTCTACTCCGCTTATCTAAGCTGCTGCCCTATCAAAAGTCAAGGCAGTTTCTTTATTTGGCCAATGAAAGTAACAAATAGACAGAAGACCCTCCTACATCACTTACGTCTACAAAATCCTCAAACTAAATGGGGTATCCTCTCTCTACAAGCCCTAGACTGAATGCTGAGCTCCTGCCTTCTCCCACCTTATATTCCTGGCTCATCCCAGCCATATCCCTTCCCATCTCCACTTCCCGAGTGATGAGTCACACCCAGTTGGCTCTATTTCTCTTTGCGACTGGATCAATCCAGTGTAGCCCAGGGTGGCCTTGAACTCACAGAGATCCGTTTGCTTCTGTCTCTCATGAGTGCTGGGATTAAAGGCGTGTGCCACCACTGCCTGGCCTCCATGGCTAACTAGTGTGGCTAGCTCCTCACTCTGAGCTTCAGACAAGCTTTATTTGTTACAGCACAAACAAAATACCACAATTATGCTGTGCCCTGGATCTCCAGCACTGTTTCATCTTACTTCTGCAAGTTTGTACAGTGACCAATATCTTGTCTCCTCTCCAACTTCTAGACTCTAGGAACTACCAGTCTGTCCTCAGATCTGCACCTAGAGAAGCCAGAAGCAATGCTAGATTTCTCATATCTGTTTGACAATTTCTATAATGTTTATGCCAAAAAAATTGGAGACTACTTCCAGGAAAGAGAGAAAAACCATTAACAATCAAAGATTACACTTCAATTGAACGATATTTTTTTTGACAATGTAATAAAGAACGGGGCAGTTGGCTTCAAACTCTACATTTTCTTCACATGAGAAACACCTTGGATAATTCTTTTAATGTAAAAACTGGAAAATTAAAATAGATGACGGTTTAGTCTTTACTGATAGACATGGCATAGATGTCAAAGGGATCTGCATTCAGACAGCATTGCACTGCCCTGCCTTACATGTATTCTCCAGGACAAAAAATAAAAATGGCTTCACAGTTAAAAGCTCTTGATGCTCTTCCAGAGGACCCTGAGGTCCCGGTATCCAAATCAGGCAACTCACAAGTACCTAAAACTCCATCTCCAGAGGGTCCAACACCCCATTCTGGCCTCTGCAGGCACCAGTACAGACCTCTCTCTCTCTCTCTCTCTCTCTCTCTCTCTCTCTCTCTGTCTCTGTCTCTGTCTCTCTCTCTGTCTCTCTCTCTCTCTTTCTCTCTCTCTCTCTCTCTCTCTCACACACACACACACACCCCAAATATAATTTCTAAACTTTTTTAATGCTTCCCGCTGTCCTCTAGAAGAAGCTCCCCAAGTTTTCGGCACTGTATCACTCTCAGGTAGCCCAAGGTGAGGATAGTCTTGAAGACAAAGACCATTATTGGTAAAGAAAGTCATGTTTCTCTGTAGGGAAAGTCGCGTCTCTCTGAGCCCCTCCAGAAGAACACAGAAGCTGTGGCATAGGGACCCCTCAGACAGCAAAGGCCTCAGCTAACCCGCACTCCTTTCTTTGCAGCCTTAATTACTGATGACCTCACAGATGCCATTCTCTGTGCTAAGAAAATTGTTAAGGAGACACAGGGGATGAACTATTGGTGAGTGCCTCCCTGGGAGACTCGGGATGACCTGGGTGGGCCTGTAGTGTATCTGTTTTTAGTGGCTGGGGTGGACATGCAAAACTGGTGTCTGCAGAGTAGTCCAAGCAAGGGAACATGAGTGGTTTACGTTCACCCCCATGAGAGCGAGAGTCCAAAACAGCACACAAGCATGGGAAGAGTCTTGTCATGTGAAAGAAAAGTGTCCATTTACCAACACAGTCGGGGGACAGGGAGCCTGACTTTGTGCTAAATTTGTGTGAGATTTAGAGACTGCGATAAAATAACTGGTGGAAAAAGGCAATAAACAGTAGCGAGGATGAAACGGTCGAGTCTGTAAATGACAACTAGCAGGATCCACTTCTGAGCGCACTCCTTTCATCTCTGTGGCTGTATTTCTTCTTCTTTTTTTCTAATTGGGTGATTATTTTATTTTTTATTTTTTTTATTGAGCTCTACATTTTTCTCTGCTCCCCTCCTTGCCTCCCCCCCCCCTTCAACCCTCTCCCATGGTCCTCATGCTCCCAATTTACTCAGGAGATCTTGTCTTTTTCTACTTCCCATGTAGATCAGATCCATGTATGTCTCTCTCTCTTAGGGTCTAGGTTGTTGTCTAGGTTCCCTGAGATTGTGAACTGTAGGTTGGTTTTCTTTGCTTTATGTCTAAAAGCCACTTATGAGTGAGAGCATATGATATTTGTCTTTTTGGGTCTGGGTTACTTCACTCAATATAATGTTTTCTAGATCTATCCATTTGCCTACAAATTCCAAGATGTCATTATTTTTTTTCTGCTGTGTAGGATTCCATTGTGTAAATGTACCACATTTTCCCTATGCATTCTCCAGTCGAGGGGCATTTAGGTTGTTTCAGGTTCTGGCCATGACAAACAATGCTGCTATGAACATAGTGAGTACATGTCCTTGTGGTACAATTGAGCATCCTTTGGGTATACGCCCAAAAGTGGTATTGCTGGCCTTGAGGTAGGTTGTTCCTTAATTTTCAGAGAAATCGCCATACTGATAGCCAAAGTGATTATACAAGTTTGCATTCCCACCAGCAATGCAGGAGTATTCACTTTACCCCCACAACCTCTCCAGCATAAGTTGTTGTCAGTATTTTTGATCTTGTCCATTCTGACAGGTGTAAGATAGAATCTCAGAGTTATTTTTTGCATTTCTCTGATGGCTAAGGATGTTGAGCATTTCCTTAAGTGTCCTTCAGCCATTTAGATTCATTTGTTGAGAGTTCTCTGTTTATGTCTGTACCTCATTTTTTAATTGGATTATTTGTGTTTTTGATGACCAATTTTTTTTAATTCTTTGTATGTTTTGGAGATTAGCCCTTTGTCCAATATGGAGTTGGTAAAGATCTTTTCCCATTCTGTAGGCTGCTATTTTATGCCAATACCAGGCTGTTTTTAGTACTGTAGCTCTGTAGTAGAGTTTGAAGTCAGGGATTGTGTTGCCTCCAGAAGTTCTTTTATTGCACAGGATTGTTTTGGTTCTCTTTTTGTTTTTCCATGTGAAGTTGAGTATTGTTCTTTCGAGGTCTGTGAGGAATTTTGCTGGGATTTTAATGTGCATTGAATTAAATCTGTAGATTGTTTCTGGTAGGATTGTGTGGCTGTGTTTCTAAGCTTCCTGATCAGGCTACCCTTTCGGTAGCTCGGAGCTGTGGCTGTCAATGATCCATCCTTTAAAAGCGCAGTTTGTTTGTTGGGAAGGCAGATAGTGACTAGGAGGAAATGGGCTGAGGGAAGAGGGACACAGAAAGGCTTTAATAAGACAGAGGAATGGAAGCTTGAGATGTCTGAAGCAGGTTAAACACTGAGTACTCCTCTGGAGGATACACTCAAGGTCATGGGGGGAGGCATGCTTCCTTCTGCTGTCACCATCTCCGTCTCCTCCTCAGGCAGGGCTGGAAGAAACACTGCGAGGGCAAGGACATGTCTGAGTGGAAGAAAGGATGCGAGGTTTCCTGATCTGGAGCAGGTGCAAGGATGCGTGGCTGCTATTTCCCAGATTTACAATGAGTATGGATCCGTTTCCCTCCCAGTATCCCAAGAGGGAATCCAAGTGGTATTTAAAGGGAATAAATATATCCATTTATATCTCACTTCCCTGAGTAGAGTTCAGTGATGTCATAAATGCCCTGATGGTGTGAAGACTTGGAGAAGCATCTCTGGAATGTTTAAGGCTTGGAGGAAAGGAGCTTTTACTCTTTGCTGTTAAGTTTCCTAAGTGTGTATCCCTGATGTGTCTCCTCATTCAAGCATGAAGCTTTTGAAGGTCAAAAGATGCACTTGGTAAGGAAGCTTTAAGAAGCTGCCAGCCAGTTGGCCAACCTCTATATCCCCTAGAGCTTGTGGCCATCCATTCCTTTTAGTCAGGGACCACTCAGTACTTCCTCAGATCAACACTGCCGGATAGGACACTTCTGCCTCCTGGTGAAATCCTGATGGTACCTTTAGTGGAATAAAAAGATGAAATCATAGTTCTTAGCGCCAACATCTAGAGCAGTGATTCTTAACTTGAGGGTTGCGATCCCTTTGGGTGTCACATATCAGATATCCTGCACATCAGATATTTACATTACAATTCACAACAGTAACAAAATCATTTATGAAGTAGCAACAAAATAATTTTATGGTCGGGGGTCAGCACAACTTGAGGAACTGTGTTAAAGGGTCATAACATCAGGAAGATTGAGAACCACTGGTCTAGAGACTGACCCTAGTTGCTACAATATCCACTTGAATTAAATCTACCAAATTCCAAAGCAATGTTAGATCATCCACAGAACTGTTAGGTTGAGAAGAAACTCCAGGCAAATGGTTATCTGTGGTTTCTATTAGCATTCCAAAGCGCATGCTGACTTCCAGGTTCTTCCAGCATAGCGAATGCTTGTTACAGAATCCCTGGCTCTTCTCAGCTCTTCTCACCCTAAACTTTAATTCACGGACTTCCCTTCCCCTAGCCTCTCATTCCTATATAATCTTGTCATTTCAGCAAGTCATAGCCTCATTCTATACAATGACAAAATTGTTTTCATCTCAAGCCATGCAGTTCAGATTAGCTTGGCCTGGAACCTGGTGGCCACATGAAAGGAATCTATACAATGCTGCAGTGTCTTAAGGACATCAATCTGGGGTGAGGTCCAGGATGTTGATTCCAGGATGGCTCTGCAGGAGATGCAAGCAATATGGCTCTACCCGGGGGACTCATGTCCTGTTTCCTGTACACATCTTTCTATTCCACTGGGACACAGTTGGTTGAAGCTTTGATTCAACCTGATTTGTTCTAAAATGGAGGTGAACATACTAGTTTCTTTTTGAGTACAGTATGATCTAGACTGCACAAAATTGAAGTTTGTTGAAGAAATGGTTAAAGCAATAAGCCTCCATCAGAGCAAAGTCCTCACAGACTGATGAATGCTTTCCCAACACCCACAAAACCCTTCAATGGTCCCTTGTGACCACCCAGCTTTGACTGTTGCTCTCTTCATACCCACTGACTTAACGTACATCCTTAATCTTTGAAAAATCATAACAGCTGCTTGTCAGAGAATACCCATCACTATTGTCACAATTTAACAAGCATCATAAACCGTGGGAGAAAAAGCTTTTGAAACACATTTAAGAATTGAAAAGCAATTCTATAACATGACTTGAGAAACACTGGGAAAAGAATGTAAAATCCACTAAGGTTCACTAAATCAATATCCCAAGCCTATGGAAGTCCACAAATATGTATTTTCCCTGCTCCTGCTCAGTCATCTGCCTGTCCTGCAGGCCTCGTGTTTAGCAGAGCCTCTTGCTTCATTAAAACCAGTGGCACCAAGTTAATGAGTAAGGTTGGCACAGACGTTGCGCCAGTCATTCATTGGCCAAGGGAAAGAAAAAAAAAACTCCCCAAAGTTCAAGATAATGGGAAGCTTGCTGGCACTGAATAATTTTTTTGTAAGACTCATAAAATTTCCAAACATGCAATCTTATTATTTTCCTCCCCAAATATTTTATTTATTCAGTATTTCTATAAATACTAATTTAGGAAGAAAATACAATTTTCCATAATTAACGCCTCAGAAATGCAGGAGGAAACGATTGCTTCTACTCCTGGGTTATTTTTATTTGACTAGAGTGGTGAGGCTGCAGCCCTCACTCTTTTCCTGGCTGTGGTTTCCATGACACCTGAAAGCAGACGTCCTTCTTAATTTTCCTCATGGCCGCCGTATCAGCAGGGCTCCCAGATGCTCTGAGCAGATGGTTAATGTTAGGGGTGTATTATGGGCACACTTTTTCCCCCTTTGGGGACTGGTTCTTGAGAAACCCCTCCCCCAGCATCTCTGTCCTTTGCATCTCAGCTTGCTCTGTGGTGCTCCTTAGCACTCTCTGGTCCTGTCTGCCATTTTCCTTGACACCTCCCGTGGTTAGCATGTCTCCCCCTCAGACATGGTTGACACTAGTTCTTGCCTAGGTTGGAACACTTGGCTCCTTTGCTGCAGCTGGAGCTCAGCTTACATGACCCCTTCCTCTCTGACCCTCAGATGTCTGTAAATTCCTTGAGGCCTGGGTTTTCTCTTTCACTTTCTTGGTTTCTCACAAACCCCTTTGCAATAATGACCTCGTAACAGTTACTTGTCAGAACTCTGGGCTGCTTGGTTCTGCTGAACGCTAGACTGACTGAGAGTGCAGGTGGCGTCGTGCATTTATAATGCTTTTGTTTTCAGAATGTGGCTCTCTATAGCCTTGGGGATGAGTAAAGCAAGCTTCATTTTCTACTGGTCACTCGGGTGCAAACTGGGGAAGCGTCTCCACACCCACAGCCTAACATCTAAGCTTATCCTTCTAGAAGATCAATGGAGAGAAGGGGAGAAGCCATTATGTAAGCTTTAGATTTGGAATGTTCCTTGAAGGTTCTTGTGTTGAAAGTCCCCAGCTCATAGTGCTACTGGAAACTATTAGAAACATCAGAAGTTGGGGCCTAGCTTATCAGGTAAGGGCACTTTGTGTGCAAGTTTAAGGACCTGAGTTCGAATCCCTAGTACACACATCTTTTAAATGGCTAGATTGTAATTCAGGACTATGGGAGAGGAGACAGAAGGATCTCTGGGACTTACTGCCCATTAGCTTAGCTTCAGGTACAATGAGAGATTCTGTCTCAAGGAAATAAAGGAAAATAAATGTCTTCCTCTGATCTCTGTACGTGCACATAGTCACATCTGCCTGTACATACATTCCAACTGTACAAAAAGAAATTAAGAATATTTTAGGAGATGGAGCCTTTGTGAAGAAGCGTTCCCCTGTGGGTATGCCTTTGCAGGGACACTGGGGCCCTTAGCCCTTCCTCTCCTTCTGCTTCCTGTCGCTGCCTCATCATTGAGATCCTGACTCATGACCCTGAAACCTTGAACCAAAAGATATCCTGTCTTGTCCCTGGTGTTTGGTCACACAGACAGGATTCTGGCTGACTCAGAAGCAGACTGTTCCTTTGGCTGGCGGAGAAAGAATGACCCCCTCTCCACACGGGGCCCCACAGTGAACACTACCAACCGCTGAGGTTGCTCACTGCTGCTGTACTGTAGACCAGGCTGCAGCACTGTCCCGGCTCTTCTTTTCCTCACCGTGCTAGTTAATTTCCGGTTATAATAGAAATCTGGATTTCTCATGAAGCACAAAGAAAAGTATTTCCCAAAACTACAGAAGTGAAATCTTATCATTTAATAGCTACAACTTTTTTTTTTTTGTTTTACTTCTACTTTATCTACTCCATGTAACATATTTTATTTTGTATCCTGCTCGAAGAGTTTTCCAAATGTTCACATTGAGGAGCATGCATGTCCTCACAATTCCCATAGTTTACTTCCGCGGCAGTTTGTGACTGTGAGGTAACCAATAGCAGCTTTAGCCTCGAACTCTAAGCCAAATGCTACAAAATGCCCTTTCTCCTCTCACTGTTTATTCTGCTCCCAACTTCATCCAAAGTCCTCAATGCATTTATAATCTCTGTCATCCCGTGAGTTTAGAGAGCACTAGAGCTGCTCACGGGCGAGTATGTAGGATGTTAGAAGCACGATGTTGCTCAGTCTTAAACAATTAAGGTCTGTTATCTGTTGTTGGTTGAGATTATAACGGCAAATCGCAGTTTCACCATCCCTGGACACAGATCAAAGCCAGTACTAAGCAGAGCAAAGAGCTCTGAAGGAAGTACCGGAGCCAGCTCCCTGTGCACAGACAAGGTACCACGTGTCTGCATCTCTCTTGCACAACAGGAGTGATACGGGCCATACGCAGTGTGGAAAAGGGATTGGCAGAATAGCAGGATCACATGTCACGATGTGGACTGGAAGAGAGGCTGCTGCTGCAGCTCAGCCTCGTCTCCTCGGGTCTCCTGCATGTCTAGCAGGTGACTTTCCACAGGCTGTGCAAACACTTCTCAGGAGGACCTTAGTTTGCATGAGCTAATGGATGCCTTGCTCCAAAGGCAAAGGAATAGATCCTGACTAACAGAGCCGTGTGGAGTTGTGGTTGGGTTTCTTCTAAAACCTCTCTACAACTGGGATTTCCAAGCTATAGGGAAAAAATAAATTAAAAAAAAAATCGCTCAAAGAAATACCCAACTCTGTGGCTAGATTTTCCTGGCTGCTCTCTACCCCGTACACACTGGCAGCACAATTCTTGGTGAGGAAGAAAAATCTAAATCTATAGTTTTACTTTGAAAAGCATTCATGCAAAAATAAAGGCCAGATTCAGAAGTGATCCGACTTCTGCATTGCCTTTCAAAACAGTATCCTGTTACCGACTAAAGCAAACAGAGCAGTTTGGAGCTGACAGACTGCGCAAAAGGGCAGATCGGAGAAGATTAAATATTTGTGCAAAAAAAAAAGAAAGAAAGAAAAAACCACCCCACACCCCCTCCCCTTCACAAAGAACTGCCTCAGTCTGAAATAAAAGGAAAGGAAAGCTGGGGAAGGACAGGAGCTTGAAGAGAGCCTTATCTTTGCGGGCAAGGAGGATGTGGAGAGAAAACACCAGCGGAGATCCAGGGAGCTTTGCCTGCACTCTGGCCAGGATAGGACTGGGCTCCTGTCTGAGTCCCTAGGCTGCACTTTTGACC